TGAATTCCTCTTAACTGAAATATCTAAGATAATATGTATTAGAAGAATGCTTCATTATTTTGTATATCTGTCAAGAAAATTCTTAGCGGCGCAGCGTCAAAGGTATTCTTGTTATCCTTTAAGTATGACAAAGTACGTAAAAGAGTAAAAACCGAGCTTCGCAATGTTGTAATATAGCAACTATCGAGCATAAAACACTTTGACGTGTACTAGGAAAACTCAAATCAACTTAACTGGAAAATAGGTGGGAAGGAAAATTTCTTACACATACTCGTATGTGCCACATAAAATGTTTATGTTAGTGTATTTGCTACTGTTTCTGCTTCTGTTTCACTTGCTGAAGGCAGTAAAAATGGATTTTTCCAAGCCACATAAATTTTAACAAAAATTGACAACAATTTTTGTGTCAGGATGTGATGCTTTTAAGGATTTTAATGAACATGTGTATGAACTTTCATTTAAAAAATTATTGACTTTATATTATGTAGGTACTTCATTTAGTTTATAAAATTATTTATTTTTCTATTGGCGGTGCTAGTTTGATATTCCATTTGTTTCAATTTCTAGTGAAATTAAAAAATATATTTAATGTTAATTATTTCTTGCTGAGAATGACATGTCTTTATAAAGTAAAGAAACTATTTAAAAGTTATTAGAAAGTTAGGATTCGAATAGCAGAGAAAAGACAAGAACAAAAATTTAGTTAATTTATTGAAATTTAACTGACTATACAACGTTATTTCGAGTATTGCCACGTACTCATCATCAGTGGTCATAGGAAATATTCGAATTTCTTTTTTAATTTGTTTAGACTGCAAGTGCTAGACTTAGAACTCATGCCTGTCAAATAGAAAGCGATGATTAACTAAATAAATTAACTAAATTTTTGTTCTTGTCTTTTTTTTGCTACTTGAATCCGTCTATAAAATATACTATTTAAAAATTTAATATCCTTTGTCAGTGTATATTACTTAGTTACTTTATATTGTGTTTTGGTGAATTCCCCTTGGCTTGAATTTCTAATGAAATAAAAAAAAATGTCATAAATATAGAGAAGGAAAAAAGCTTTTATTTAAAACATTTATATCCTTTGTAAGTGGATATAGCGCTAATTAATAAAATTTTTAATTAATGCTGATTTTGCTAAATAAATTAACAACAAAATTGAAAAATTTGTTTTCTTACAATTATTGTTATTTATTTTATTATTTCAAATTTGGCATTAGAATTTTGAAAACGAAATTCCTTGTTATTGAAATGTTTTTAAGTTGAGTTCTCGACAGTAAATGACGCACAAATTTCACTTTTGATTCTCTATTCCGTTGAGAAAATATTTATTTTAAAATCGCATTAATTCCGGCAATTCCGGCAAAAAATTTATACAATTAAGCGTCAAGTTGCACGCATTTTTGGCGCTGCGAATAATCCGGTTGGTTTGATGTTGTGATGTTGTGGGAGGATTCAAGTGCTCAGCTCGCTGTGGATGGTTTGTTGATAGAGTCTTTCATTCGCAGTTGTATTTGTAGTTAAACTAAATTATTTAATTTATAATTACATTTCGGTGACTCGTACATTTCTTCGACATTTAAACAATTTTCGTAAAATAAATACGTTTCAGAAAGAATTCAATTCAAGGTAATAGCTTTGAAAGAAATAATTTAAATTTATTGCAATTTCTGGCAACTTCTGTAGTGACATGATAAAATAAATTTATTCAAAAGTGAACTTTTGTGTAATATAGTTTAAAAAGAATATATAATATAAGTGTAGGTAGTAAGATATATAAGAAAGTTTTGCTTCCCACATATTTTCCAATTGAGTTTATATTAGTTTTTCTAGTAGACGTCAAGGTTTTTATGCTTGATAGTTGCTAAATTATAACACTGCAAGGTTTGGTTTTTCACTTACAATATATATAGACCAATGTTCCCTTAATATACAAATTTTAATGAAATAATAAATTTAATCCTTAAAGAGGAATGATGTCTAAAAGATACAATATTTTTTAACAATTTCAATTTTTTTCCATTATTAATTTATACTTTTAGTGCAGTTGCCCTGTATTTTTTAAAGTTTTATTTTCAATTTTTTTTTTATGTTAGCTGGTAGTGTGACCTCTGTTCATTTGGATTTTACATACACAACATCTTTAAGATAAGTTGAAGTCAATAGTTAACTTAATGTGAATTGAGTAATGACATTTATTTTGAAGTTAGTTTAATTTAGTAGAGCTTATAATGTATAACAATTTTAATAATATTGTAATATCTTTTTCATAAAGTCAAATATTATATCCTTAGAGCAATGTATTTTTTGACAGAGATATAGTTCTTCCTTTGATATATATTCCTGAAAAATCTTTATCCAAAGAAAACCCATTCTGAATAAATTCTCTAGTGATTCTCTAGTTTTACAGTTTAGTCATGTTAGATTCATACAAAACTGGGATACGGAATTACAAATTTATTTGTATATTGCTTTATTGGGCTCAAACCTCCAAAATCTCAACCAATCTGGAGCTTTGTCACTGTATATTTCTTTAGTGTGTTCAAACCTATAGTCTCTCAACCAATTTGGAGCTTTGACACTGTTAATTAATAAACATTTGGCGAGGGAATGATGTGATTTGTGTTGGTTTCTTGATGAGTTCAGTTGAGTGATTTCTTGAAGGGTTAATTAAGTCCTATTTAATGTTTTTTTTTTACATATTAAAATTAACCGAAATACTGTTACGTTAAGATTCTTATGAATCCTCATGTGGTTCTTATGACATTCTAATACTGTTGAAAATAATTTTTGTATCTACTTTGGGTTCTTAAATAAGGCTTTTAACAAATTGGAAGCACTTGTTTAAAGTTGTATGTTTTCCTATCCGAGGATGGGATGTCTTTTCTTTATTCTAGTGCAGATATGAATTAAACACAGATTTAATAGACAATTGACTATCAGATATGTTTTTCATATATTTCAATTCGTTACAGTGATTTCTTAGAGGCATTGTAGTTAGACTAACTAAAAAAATACTACAAGAAATCTGCAAAATGATGACGTAGGACAATATATTGGATAATGAAGCATATTTTTTCATCCAACCAGGCATATACATTAAGACCGAAAAGTTTTCGGAAATTCTCATTTAAAATTCGCGCGCTGTATATTTTTCGATATTTTAAGTTTATGTAGTTTGGCAGCAATTAAGGACAATTACTATGCCAAAAATGAGCGCGATCTGTCAGACAGTTCGTTTACGGCAGCTGTTGAAACCAGTTCACCTCAGAGTGCGTTGCGAAAAAAACAATGGAAAAAATATTGAACAAAGAGTTTGCATCAAAATTTTGTGTTTCGAACGAAATTTCGTGTGCAGAATCGTTGCGAATGCTACAAAAGGCTTATGGGGAATCAGTTTTATCGAAAACTCAAGTTTATGAGTGGTACAAAGCCTTTCAGGACGGTCGTACGACCGTCGAAAGACATTTCGCAACGCACTACTGAGGTGAACTGGTTTCAACAGCTGCCGTAAACGAACTGTCTGACAGATCGCGCTCATTTTTGGCATAGTAATTAAGGACAGTGCTGCCAAACTACATAAACTTAAAATATCGAAAAATATACAGCGCGCGAATTTTAAATGAGAATTTCCGAAAACTTTTCAGTCTTAATGTAAGTACATACATTATATCGCTGAGTCCAACTCAATTCTTTTTTGTTTATTTGCGCATACAACTTTCATTAAAGCAAATCCGATAAAATACCATTTAATAATTACTTGAAAATATTTTGATAAAAGATTTATTTCATTTATGCATGTTATAAGAAGTACACTGTGTTCTTCTTTGCACATTGTTCTGATGTTTAAGTTTTAATCCGATATTCAATTCATCTCTATTTTAGTCATAGCCTGAAGATTTTTCTTTTTTAAATATATATTACTTCCATGCAAGATTATCCTACCCCCACGAAGCGATATGAGTCCTACCTTTGCTTTACCATTATGAACCAATATTTGTAAGCAATCCATTTTTTTTTCATTGCGTCCTTGAACTCAAAAAGGTTGGTGACTTCTATTTTAAAACTTATAATATATTGTAAATTGTTAGTGAAACAACATATCAAAGCTTTGAGTTCTTCAATATGAAAAAAATTGCTGATAACTGATTTAAGGTAATCAGTCACACATCAATATTAATTTCAGTAATGTCCTTTTCAACCCTACACACGTTTTCTTAAATGCACTTTTTATGTTAAAAAATGATGTCAAAACGTATTCTTTGTATTGTGTGTGGTTTCGTCTGATAGACGACCATATAGAGGGCGCGACTAATCGATTTATTTACAAAATATACCTATGAGAAGTAAAATATAGTATAAGTTGACAATAAAATTTTAATTCTTGATAATGAAATATATAATTGCACATTTAATGCAACTAAAGAGTGTTCGTTAATCGATATATGGTATATAAGTTACTTAAGTTTTTTCTGTTAACTTATTTATAATATATTCGTATACAATATTTCTACTAATAAATACTGTAGGAGTGAAATTAACAACCGCCTCGAGCAAATTTTAACAAAAAAATGCACTTAGAAAATGTCATGCTGATTCACTATATTTTGTTGATTTACTTATCGTATAAATAAGAGAAAAACCATCAATACCAAGATGGATTAAAGTCCTTAAGTAACTTTTAAATTTAAAATTGTTTTTCTATTTATAAAATTTTTTTGCATTTTATTGCCAAGGGTAATTTTTCAATGATGAAATGGTTTTTCGTGTACTCCATGTCACGTGTGTTGAGCCTTTTTGCGTCAAGAAACTAATACGGGTATATATATATATATATATATATATATATATCTATGTAAGTTTGTTTTTACGTTTTTTCGTTATAAATATATATTTGTATTTTTATATAGTTATAATTTATATAAAATAATTTGCTACTTCGTTACAAGCTTACGAGCTTTCTCAAAAATCTTCTCTTATTTGTATATTTTTAGGTACAATATCCTCAAACGGTTGAAGCCACAGATGATGTTGCAAATATTTCACCATATGAGCTGGAATCAATAATAAATCAACTGCTGAATCCCAGCCCAGAATATCAGTTGCATGTAAGTTATATAAACGATAAAAAAAAGAGTTTACGAAAGGAATTTTTATTTTTTTTCAAAAAATTTAAATAAGTATTGTATTTATATATAGAATGGCGGTAATATTTTTGAATATATTGCTTAAGTGAAAGCATTCAATTTATGTTTCCCAATTCCCCATTTATTTTATCGCATAAACACTTAAATTAGAATATTTGTTAGTACGAGTATCCAACATTTTTATAATCGTGTTGAATTAACACTGAAAAGTGCCAAAAATTCATATTATTTAAAATTAAAATTATTTATTAGAAATCTTGCTTGAATTTCATCAAAGATTTATTTTTTTACGCATAGACTTCGGCCTTACGAAATCAACTGAACAATATATTACGCGAACGACAATTGCCTTATGGTGAGGAACAGGTCCTTAGTGATTACGATTATACCGATGAGGATAAGCGTTCTGTTGCATCTTTGGCAGCACAAGGTTTGTTGCATGGAAATAAGCGTAGTTTGGCTACACTGGCTAAAAATGGTCAGTTACCAACACCAGAACCAGAAGAGGAACTGGAAACAGCTGCAACACGCAACGAGGACAAACGGTATGTTGGTGCACTAGCACGTTCTGGCGGATTTATGGGATATGGAAAACGTAACATAGGCACTCTGGCACGAGATTTTCAACTACCACAAAATGGTAAACGCAATTTAGCGACAATGGCACGCTTGGGCTTGTTAACTCCGAATCACGATCCAAAACGTAATGTGGCCTCAGTGGCACGTTTCAATTCGAATCGTTTGGGTGCTGCAGAAAAACGTAATTTAGGCGCACTTAAAGGCTCTCCGGTACATGGTAGTCAACAGAAACGTGAGGATGAAGAACTAATGTTACCAGCTGCAGCACCAAGCAATGATATGGATTATGCCGAGCCTATGCAAAGTTATTGGTGGTATCCAAACTATGCCGGCTATGCGGACTTAGATTGGGGCGATTTTGCGCGTGCACAAAAACGTTTTCTCGGTAAGTAAGACATCCTTTCTTACTGTTTAAAATATTATGAATATCATTTAAATTATGTTATATAATGTAAATATTAAAAGCATATACAAGTGTACATAAACATATGTCTATCAAAGCAAATATATATTTTTATATGTATACAATGTATATTCAAAAAGATACATCCAAGGATCCTGAATTATTTGGCATTGAGAATGCTATGTCTATGCAGGAATTGGTGCCTGGCGAAGAAGAATCAACACCTGAACTATTGCAAGAGCAAAAACGTCATATTGGCGCTGTTTATCGTTCCGGGTTTTTGCCCTCCTATCGTGCATTGCGCAGCACAACTGGCAATGAGATAGGCACCGGTGGACGCTTTAGTCGTTCCGGACGTGCCAGGCAATTTGTATGAGTAAATGGCGATGAATTGTGTGATAATATATAGGACATTTTTTCATTATTTTTTTTTATGTATTTTTCTTTCAAAATTGCATTTGAATCTGATTGTTTCTAAATTGTTAAAATTTTTTATTATTTTTTTATGCTGTGGTAGTTTTTTTCGTAGATATTTATTTTCATTTAATCCTTTGTGAAAATAGTCAACATTTTAAATGGATTTTATACATTTTTTTATATTAAGGGCTGTGTTGTTTTATCATAATAGTCTTATTTTTCGTCCTCTTACTATTCCAATAAGCTTCAGTTTTTTTCAGTAAACTGCAGTTATTTTACTTATAATAATATTTCATTAACTCTGTGCCTTTCAAACTCTAAGCTTTGGAAGGAAAAGATATTAAAATTCGTGTGGTCCAAAAATTTGCATTTTCTTGCCAATAAATGCAAGTATTCCAATTTCATGAAAATTATTTACCTAAATAAGAGAGGAAAATAGTTCTAGTAGTTTTGTTTTTGTTTGTTTTGAATTTAATTTTCTTTATGTTAATGAAAACTTTTGCATTTCAAACACAAACTCAGAGTTTTGGATACTTACAGACTTGTTATTTTTACCCATTTGAAACGAAATATTTTGTTTGTATCTAACTGCGTTAAAAACCTTATCTATACTAATTTTTTGGGTCTACTTCTGATGAAAATTTAAAATCCATTTCTAAATGATATATAACTCAATGTTATTCTATGAGCTCTAAGATAAGGAAATTACTTTGATTAAAAAAGACAATTGTAGAGATATATCCTGATTTAGCCTACCAGGCTTAAATGATATTTCAAATATTTCCTATATCCATTTCAATTATCTTGTGAAAGATATTGAAGATTTTAAAGTTATACAGACATATATTAGACACTCTTAATTACTAACATTAAATATAAATTTGCTTTGTAGACACGGAAGACAGGCAAATATTTCAAATATCTAACAAACGCTGACAACTATAAAAATTTGAGCATTTTAAACAAGACTTAAAGATTGGAATAAATATTAAGATATCTGAACAGAAAATTGACATATAAGAGGGACCGAATAGGTTTTTGTTTATTGCCTGGATAGTTAGTCCCATACTTAAAATCGCACATAAAGAGTGTTTCTGAAGCTATGTCGGGAAGAAGAGTGTGGCTTATTTTGTTGGTTGTACTCTTCTTTTTTGCTTGATTAAACGCAAGTTAGTGTCTAAATCATTTTCACTCAATAACGTCTGTGACTACTCGGGTGATTCACTGCAAAAAGAGCTTCATTGAATTACGATAATAAGTTATTCAAGTGAATCCTGACGAAATATATATTGTGTTTGATTTACTTAATAACTTACTGCTATCTTTATTTCCTAGTCGAGCGTAGTGTCGCGTTTGATTTAAGAGAGTGTAATCCAAATTAAAAAGTCATTTTTAATGCACTGTCTTTGATGTACTTTTCTATACTCTCAAGTCCCTGAGAGTTGAGAGTATGCGTATATCTGTATTTTTGATATATCACGGAACTTTTAGCATACATCTCTATCCTATCTCTAACCTATTTTGTCTATTATCTATTATGATAAGTTTAAAGTTTTATGATAATATGTCAGGATTGCCAGAAAAAATATAAAATGACCGCCATAAAGAAATTAGGTCTAATTACTTACTTATAAAACTGAATCTTCTCTCATAGAGATGCCTCGTGCAGATATCATTCTTGCAGTAGGTTTACTTACAGGTCATTCTATTCTAGGTAACCATGCTAGGAGGCTAAATCTCTCTTTAAACCATATCTGCCGCAGTTGTGGCGAGAACGTTGAAACTGCCTCCCGCCTGCTTTGCTTCTGTCTGGCACATGCGCGGTGCTTCCTTAACATTTTAGGGGCTTTCTTTTTTGAGGATCTTGGTGAACTTTAGGACCTCCCTTTGAATAGCATCATAAGCTTTTCCAAAGGTTGTAGATGGTTTTACCCCTTGGGTGTTTAATAATACGGTAGGCTTAAGTGATACCCTTGGGATTGTCGGTATAACCTAATCTAACCTAAAAGAAATTCTAGCCAGCTAGAGATCAGTGGAAAGATTTTTTTGGACTGTTCTTTGGGAAAGATATCTTCACTCATAACTATATTGTTTAGTTTTGTTAATATTGTTTTTTTATTATCTAAACTGTAGCAGGCAATAAACTTATAGGTCTCCAATTTTCGAGTTTTTGGGAACGACTCTATATTTTTTAAATATGTTTGAATTGAACAAACTATATATTTTTGAATTAAAAATTCTTTTTTATATAAATTATATCTATATATTTTACGATCTTAAAAACTTCTCTAAATGTTTTAACTTTACGATTTGGTTTAATTTATGTTTTGCTGTTAGAGTATTTTTCAATTTTCCTAATATTTTTCTTACGTGAATGACATTTAACTGTTTTTAGCCAAAGAAATTGTATTTTCTTGAGAAAATGCTATGGAATGAAATGTATTTAGGCATGTTAAGAAAAATACACAAGAATCCAATAAACGTCGACCTTTAGTTTTTTTTTAGAAAAAAAAACAAACCATATATACTACAGACTTGTATATATTTTCCATAAAATGTATATATATTTATACATATACATATATATGTTTAAATGAAGTGTAAAGACTACTGTAAGCATTTTCTTGTCAATTTTAGTAAATGTTTATACCATTCGTTTGCTAAAACAGAAAATTTTTCATTTTCCCAAAAACTTTTCGAGAAAATTGTGTAAAGTTGAGTAATTGTGTAAAATACTAAAAAAAGTTTATTGAAAAATATTAAATCGATATTAAATCTCATATGTTTTCGAGTCTGTTTAATCCAATTAAATTTTTATGTACGCAAACTGATTCAACATAAATTTTTTATGTTGTCAAATCGAATGAGAGAAGTAAGCAGTTCACTGAGCGAACTGGTGACGCTGTTCAGCAAGATTTAACGACCAACTTATGTGACTCCGGAAGTTGTTCATCATTTGCCATCTTAACAACTTGTAGTGCATAATACAGGATAATTTCCTGTTTATTATGCGAAATTCATTCAACAAAATATTTGTTTCCGTTATAAAAATGTGCTTTTATGGGTGCTCGGGAACATTTGCATTAAACAGCAAACTTCCATGTTTCGCTGCAAATTGGCATAAATTTTATTTGCTTGTTGTTCGTTTTAGCTTTTATTATAAGAAAATCAGAAAAATTCTTTCGCTTTCTTTATAAATTCCAAGAAATTTTCTTAACTAAACATTTGGAGTATTTAAATTCTTTGAACAATTTGGATTACATACGAGTACAATAAAAATATATTATACCTTTTTTAGCTTATAATGCCAACACTTTTGCTAACAATGCTATAATTTCTTAAACCTCTCTAGTAGGGCATATCTAAGAAGTGTATAGCGGGAGGCTATTTTAGAAAAGTTTTCCTTTTGTAAAAGTATATGAAATTCCGAACAATATATATTATTATGTGATTTACTAAAGAAATAAAAGTCTTAAAATATGTAATCTTTTTTTAATTGCTTCGCGTGGCTTTTTGCACATATATAAGATTATAAATTAATTTTAGAAATGGTTCACAAGACGCAGGTGTTAAATGACGTAGCAGAACATGACGTACAATGGGTGAACGAATACAAAAATAATCTTTCTAACGGCAAAGAAGAACATTTTTATTATAAAACCGTATTCCATCCGGAACATAGATTATTTACATAGAATCGACAGGTATTTCTGTTTAATGCTAAATATCTTAATTCGTTAAATGATTTATAAGTTTCATGTCGGATTGTTCTTCTCCAGGTGGTACGAGACCTGCCGGGTCTTCGATTGTCTTGAGGGTTCCATTGTAGGGCAGCATGTAAGACCTCTTCATAGGGTTTTCTTAATGTGTGCCCGAGTCAGTTGTATTATCGTCGTTTAATTTGTACGTTGATCTTTTCTTGGTTTGTGAGTTTCTTTGTCCACCACACGGGGTCACCAAATTCTCAATATATTTCGCAAACATCTGTTGGTAAAAGTCTGTAGCATGCGACTAGTTTCAGTACTCACCAGTCATGTTTCAGAGTTATACAGCTAAATTGATTTGATACATGAAAGAAGAACAGGAGTTTAAATTTCAAGTTGTAAGTGAATAATGTGAAAACTATCTAGGCCATAGAATATATCCCTTCAAGCATAGATAGTACACAAATAAGAAAATTAACTTTTGTTTAGTAGTCCAAACTTTTAAAACAGTGATTAGTGATGTATGTAGAAAAGTTTCGTTATAAGTTAATCTAAGTTTGTCAAAAACATTAACACTCGCAGACCTATACTTAGTTCTTACCTACTTACTTACTTACTTATCCCGTTTTCGATTGGTGAATCTGGATTTAATCGAGATCCACTTTCGATCTGTCAAATTTTGTCGAATATTTTTAGTAGACTTTCATATTTTCTATCTATCAAATCATATAAAATAGCTATAAATTTTAGAATAATCGTACTTCCATGGTAATATATTTAGAGTGTTATAAAATAATCTTCAGTGTTATATATTTTACCACAGATTTACCAATCGAAAATAAAATTGTACTAAAAGTGCATTAAAAGAGTATCACGAAGATGTGGGTGTCGTATACCACGTTTTCCACCAGCGGATACCGAATCAAGTACATTTCTAGTGGGAGGTTTTTCTTTCATTCGCACGACGAGACCTAACCAGCAAAACCACTGAATTTCTAAGCGCTTGACTATGTCAATGTCGCGATATATCTCATACAACTTATCGTTCCATTTAATTCGATAATTCGTTGCTAATGTGTAAGAAATGCTTCTAACGCCTTCTTATCACAGATGATAATTGTCCAAACTATTTAGTTCTTAAGAGGTCAAAAAACCGTATACTTTTATAAAAAACTTTACTCTTGTATAAGAGAGTGTGTTTTCTCATAGAGGGTTATTTCTCATCCACAAAGGAAACAATTTGAGGGGTCTTTAATAGAGAAATCCAATTTTCAAACAATAAGAACTACCTTAATATATATGCCCATATATTTGATTTATTACATTAAAGCGCGGTGCAGACTATCATACTGGTATGTCATACGAGAGAGAAAAAAGTCGTATGACACACAGGTATGATAGTCTGCCACCTTTACCAACGTGTTGGCGTGCTCACCAAAATTTTGGTGAACAGCTCTCGCATACGCGTTGTGTATGATAGTCTGTCACCCCTAACGATTCATACGTCATACAAGAGCATTTTTGCCTTGCAAATTTATTGTAAGCAGGTGGAATATGTAGAATTATAATATAAATTTAATATGTTTTTTATTATTTTATTATTAATGTATTTATTATTATTATATTTATTATTATTATTATTATTAAAATTACACTTATAAATTTGTGTTAAATATTTAATTGTATTTTAATTAAAAAAATATAAATTTTTATATAAAATTCTTATAAAAAATTAGAGTACAATTAAATATTTTATTTAATTTATTGAATGTTTTATTTAATTTTATTTTAATTTATAAACGATGATTATAAGTAATTTGTTATCTAAATATAAACATCGTTAAATTAACGATCTAAGCCTAGTAATTAAAAAACGTATTGAAAATTGGTCGTAATAACAATTAATTAATAACCTAAATTTAAGATATAATATTTTGTATTCTAAATATGATTTTCTTTATTAAAACTTATTAAAATAAAAGAATTTTAAATGAAGACAATGAAGATATGCACATTCTTTTATTATTTGTATGGTCTATTTATTTGTAAAGAAATTTTCCAGGTAGTGAATGAAATTAATTACGGTCCTTTACTGACCTTCTCATTTTAACTACTGTACTTAATGAACTTTGTATTTTTTACTATTTAAGCAAAGTAATATATAATAAAATTTTATTTTGATCTTCACTCAAAACTTCACCTGAAAAGTACCCTTCAAAAATTTTGCGTAAATGACGACTCTTGTGTGTCATACCTGTTCAAATTCGGTCGCTAGAAGAAATTTGAGAAAGAGAGAGCGCAACTCGTATGACACACCAGTATGATAGTCTGCACCGCGCTTTAAGCGACCGAATTTGAACAGGTATGACACACAAGAGTAGGCAAAATTTTTGAAGAGTGCTTTTGCGGGTAGTGCTGTGAAAATTTGTGTTTAAAATAAAATTTTAAAATTGAAAAAATTGATAGTTAACGTATAGGTTGTGCTTTGCTTATAATTGATTATAATTTTGTATATTTTATATATGCCGCGTTTTTTTTGCGATCTTTATATTCACAGCTTTGGACATCCCACAAACAGCGATTACTTTTATTAACATTCGATGAAAGCATCTAAAAATGCTTTATCTGCATCCATATTCATATTTTTTTTAGGTTTATTGGTCATTAAGCACAGTAGTTAAAATGAAAAGATCAGTAAAGAACCGTAGTTAATTTCATTCACTACCTGTAAAGTTTCTTAAGAAATTTTTCATAAATAGATCATACAAATAATGTATATATATATATACATAAGAATGTATATATCTTCATTGTTTTTCAAGAAATTTGATCATTTCCATATTTTTGTTAGTTAAAGGTTATTAACATTTAAAATTCTTTTATTTTAATAATAAGTTTTAACAAATAAAAGCATATTTAGAATACAAAGTATTATATCTTAAATTTAGGTTATTAATTAATTGTTATTACGACCAATTTTCAATATGTTTTTTTATTACTGGGCTTAGATCATAAATTTAACGATGTTTATATTTAGATGTTTTTTTAAAAAAAATTTTACTTATAATTATCGTTTATAAATTAAAATAAAAGAAAATAAAATATTTAATAAACTAAATAAAATATTTAATATATTACATAAAATATTTAATTGTATTTTAGTTTTTTATAAGAATTTTATGTAAAAATTTATATTTTTTTTAACTAAGATACAATTAAATATTTAACACAAATTTATAAGTGTAATTTTAATAATAATAAATATTATAATAATAAATATACATTAATAATAAAATAATAAAAAACATATTAAATTTATATTATAATTCTACATATTCCACCTGCTTACAATAAATTTGCAAGGCAAAAATGCTCTTGTATGACGTATGAATCGTTAGGGGTGACAGACTATCATACACAACGCGTATGCGAGAGCTGTTCACCAAAATTTTGGTGAGCACGCCAACACGTTGGTAAAGGTGGCAGACTATCATACCTGTGTGTCATACGACGTTTTTCTCTCTCGTATGACATACCAGTATGATAGTCTGCACCGCACTTAAGGGACGAAGTTTTACATCCCTAGAGTTTTTTACTATGAAACCATTATTATCGATAATGGGCGATAATATTATTATTATTACTGTATTGAAAATCTCCCAAAACATATCTGAAGCCCATTAAACCAAAAAAGTTTCCAGACTTTCAGTAGCGGTTGTTTTATAGCTAATAAGGCATTCGAGTTTAGGGATTACCAGTCATTGTTATATTTTTTGAAATAATAGCTTGATGATAAAATAAAAAACCCTTTTCTTGTTTTCCAAGTCAAACAAAACTGATTGCTTTAAAAGCAATTTGCTACATTTTTATTAAATAAAAATTGTTTTAGACCAAATGAATTATTTTACTATAAAATTATGTAACTATATCTAAAATGGTATAAATTATGCCATAAATTCAAGTTTAAAAAATGTTGCATATTTTTAGGTGGTATATTTACTACTTTTTTAGTTACATCACATTAGTAATATTCTAATAAATCTAATAATTAATGAAAACTAAAATTAATAATCATAAAAAACTAAATTTTTTAATAAATAAAAATTCATATAAAATTGACACACAAAGCTCTATGCTTAAAAATATGAATATTTTAAAAATATATTAAGGAATATATTTCTACCGACAAACATTTTATATATTTCGGATTAATATTTTGTAATTTAATAATGTATCTAAAAAGGTTGTGTTTTTATAGAAATATATTCGGAATATATTTTTATATTAAAGAAAAATTAATTGAAATAAATTAAAATATTTTACATCTCATTTTATTGCTATTAAAATTATTCTTTCATTATGTTTTTCTAAAACTAACGCGTTCTTTGCCTTGCAAATATCTTATATTTCATTAGAAGTATCTATTATATTTGCTTAAATGATATTAACTTTTCTCTTCAACATGATTTGGGTTTGACAAAGTAATGACTGTATGCATTGAATTGCATTTTCTAAAAGATTTACAAAGAGAAATTCCTCTATGCTTTCAATAAATATTTTATTTAGATGTACATATGTCTATAACTTTCGATTATATATAATTTTTAGGTGTCTGTAAAATGCATGTATATATATATGTAATACTTAAAGCGTATGAATATGCAAAAAGCTTAAGTTCTTTAATTGCAAGCGACTATTTGTATACTGTCTAATATCTTGTAAATTAAATGAATTTGAAAATGTTTATATTTGTACTGTAAATGATTGCCTATTTAAATTGTTATTAAATGTCTATTTATCACTAAATATTTATGAATGTATTAATATAATTATGATAAAAAAATACTACTAAGTTATATTTATTTTTTTTTTTTTACAATATAATGATTACTTTAGGTCGAGTACTACCCCCAACGCGAGCGACTGCGTCAACCCATCGCGGCCGTTTGTAAACGTTGCTTTCTACCCTATCGACCTGTTGTAAATTGGGGTGCGGCTGGTATACGAGGACGTATTCCGAAATATGTTGCAGAAGAGGAAACAAGCATCTTAACAAATTCCTTACCATCTGGAAGACGCCATCCAGTGGCATCAGCCTCAACACATACTTGGGGTACACCTCCCCGTATAACAGCTTTGCATCGCAGAGATCTACGTCGGCCCGATTTTTTGGATAACTATGAATCTTAATATGGTGAAAAATAATTTTAAAAAAAATTTTAAAAAAAAATGTATGACAATAATAAAAATTATTAGTAAATAAATTTAGTTTTTAAGCTACTTTTGATTCCTGAAATTGCATGCTTTAAGGAAGATATCCAAGAATAAATATTATACAAATATTATAATAAACTTATATATATATATATAATTGATATCAAAATAAAACTATATATCAATGTTAAAACAGAACAAGCTACATATATATTAATGTTTCCATATCAATATATTTACTTGAAACTTCTTCGCATATCACTGAAATATATCATATATCAAAGAATTTATTTAAAACTATTTTTTTAATTATTTAAAATTAAATATTATCACAATATTTAAATATTTAAATTTATTTCAATAGTTTTGAATGTTTGAAAGTAAATTAAGGTAAAATTAAATTTTTATTGAATTTTTTAAAGTCATATTTAAGAACATGTTTTAAGTATTTAAAATTAATTAATCAATTGCATAGTTATTAAATAATTTAAATATCTTTAAGCATTTAAACAAACATTTAATTTAAAATTAATTTATTATTTATTTAAATTATTTCAAAAACTTAAAATTATTGATTTAATATTATTAATTCACTGTTTTTTTTGCTATATATTTAAAAACTCATTTAATTAATTCATATATTTATATAAGAAAAAAGAGATTTTTAAGTTAGTTTTTTTGTGTAATGCAAAAATATTTCTAAAAATATTATAAAATAATTATTATTATGAATTAATAAAAAATATTTCAAATACATTCAATTAAATTTAAAGCATTTAAAAAATGATTTGATTTTTTTTCAAAAAAATTTTATTGAAAGAAATAAATTAAAGTCAAAATAAGATTTTATTAACAATTTTCTACTTAAAAACGTGTTTAAAATATTTAACAATAAATATTTGTATTTACATTTATTAAGTTAGAAAATAATTAATTTTTTTAGTTAGCAAATTATTGTCTAACAATATTTTAAAAATTTATTAAATAATTTTTTTATTATTATTTTTTTATTATTTTTATTATTATTTTTTGTGATTACCTAATTCTATAGTTCAAATTTCTTAGTTTACTATATTTATTTTATTATTAAAAAACAAATTTTAAATATTTAATAATAAATTTGAAATCAAATTCATCATTTTAATGATAATAAAATAATAAGTAATTGAAAAATATTTGAGTTTAAGCAATATTTAACTATTTAAAAATAAATAATATTGCAGTAATTAATTTATTTTTGAGAATACGATATATTTTAAAGCAAAACTTTTTTATTTAAATATTGTGAAAAATATTTATTACTAATTTAATAAATTAATTAAAAATTAATAATAAATTTTTTAATTATTTAAACATTTTGAACAGATCATAAAACTTTATAAAAAAAATTTATATTTTGTTAAAAATTCAGGTATTTTTTAAAACCTTTTATGATTTCATAATTTTTTCAAATCATATTTTAATAACCTTTTCGCTTATTAACCATCATTAATTCTTAAAACGAACTTTTCTTTTATAAATTGTTTTTTTAAATCTATGTGAAAACAATAGTAGTTTCTTCCCAACGATTTAATTATTTTTTTTTAAATTTTATATAAATTTACATTATAAACAATATATGAAACATATATGTTCAACCTATAAAGTTTTAAAATAATTGTTCTTTTTTATATAATTTTACTATTAACTGTAATATTAACATTAACGATGTAGCAATGACAATAATTTTTAAATAAAAAATGAAGAATTATTAAAATCATGAGTTTATTTATATAAAAATATAAATAAAAATTTCTTTGGTAAAAAATAATAAAATAATGTATTAACTAAAAGTTGTATACCTCAAACAGAATATATGTATACATATATAGAAGAAAACTAAGATATTTTATTTACATATCTTTCATTATTACCAAATTTGTTGTATTTAATATAATAAAGAATTATTATAGCATAAAAGAGTACTGCGTAGAAGACAATAACTATACCCTATTTACATATAACGATATATAACATATGTGTATATATAACATATATATATACATATATATATTAAACAAAGACAATAAAAGAAAGTGAAAATGTTATAAAGAAAATAATTATAACAAAAAAAAACATACTACAATGGACAATAAATGTATGAAACCAAAAAAAAAACAATAATTTACAAATTAATATTATAATATATTATATTTAATATTTTATTATATTTCTTAAATATTTTTATTGTAGTTTATATGTGTTTTGGAATTAATTAAAAATTAATTGATGTTATTTTCACTTTAAAACATTTAGAAAATGTTTTTTAGTTCTTAAATTTGTATACATTTTAAAAAATTATTAAAAATATTTATAAATATTTAATTCGTAATTGTAAGTCTGATGTTGTCAATATCTTATTTACTCTAAATATTATATGCTAAATATTACCAAAAAAATTATCATATATAATCGTATATAAAATATTCAATATTATGAAGTCCTTTTAGTGTAAACCCCCGAATTCAAAGAAAACAATTAAATAGAGTCAATGTTTAACTTATCTAACGAAATCTTTCTTGAAAAATTACATAAATAAAGAATATTTTAATGGTTTGATTCAATGCCAATAATATGATTGTTTTTTTTATTATTTGTTTTTTCATTTTTACATAAGACTTTTTTGAACTCTTCATTTTACAAAAATCAGTCATATTGCAACTGTACTACTTGAGTAACGGAGAACGGTCACTTGTTAGTGGTACACAATTATGTGTTTGCTGAAAGTATTCGGAGAATTGAAGAAAACAAATCGTCGAAGGGAGATCATCATCAACCACATATCATAGTTTTTCTACTCCCAAACAGACTGTTAAAACATTAAAAATCCTAGTATTGGAGATACCGACGTCAGAGTGGCAAAACTGTTTAAAAAATTGGTTCACTCGAATGCAAAAATGTATTGATTATCATAGAGAATACTTCGAAAACCAATAAATCATTTTCATTGATTGGGACTTGAATGTTGTTTCAGTCTCAACCCGTATACGTCTCATTTAATATCTATTATGTCCACTTCAACAATAGTAATAAATAAGCATATAGTTAACATTTTATTATTTATACCCAATAAAGGATGTTTAACAAAAAAAAAGCTTTCACTAATTAATCACTGTATTTTCATTGTTAGACGCAGAATTTAAAAGGCAGCCCTCGTATAATATTTCCAAAATAACTACTTTTAGATCATATTGAAAGATTGAAAGTAGTAGTACGAAGTGTGACCGCCAAAATTGATTGGTCTAAGCGGAAATAACGTTGTGTTTTCATTCGTATTGAACTAAAAGGAATATTTTATAGTGAAAATCCAATGCGTAGTGAATGGTATGCATCATCAAAATCGAAGGGCGTTAATAGTCAGCGATGTTAATATTGAGTAAAATTATAATAATAATATACGTGAGCCTAACTTCCGCCAAAAAGTAGATATGTATACAACACATCCAGACAAAGAAGACTATTTACTCACACACTCAGAATTACCTCTTTAAGACCTCTGAAAGTTAAATTTAAAAACAGAATGGTGATTTATATCAGTAGGTTATCTTTGTTGTATGTTTATGTAGTCTTCAGTAAGGCAATAAAATCCACGTTTCAGGAATTCCAAAGAATCCAAAAAGATCACTCTAAGAAAGACGCTTAAAGTTTCTTGGTATGTCAAACATTTTAATATACATAAATATCTTTGATACCGATATCAAGTGAATGAAGGTTAGAGAGTCTGAGTTGTTTAACAAACTCTAAAGCGAAATTTATGCTTTAGGAAGTCGAAGAACTCCAGAAAGAGCACCCTAAGAAAAACATTTAAAGTTCTTTGGTGTACCAAAAATTTTAATATACACAAATATCTTTGACACCGTTACCGAGTGCATGAAGGTCAGAGTGTCTAATACGCTTCTGGAATTTCGAAAAATCCAAAAGGATCACTCTAAGAGAAACGTTTAAAGTTCTCTGGTATGTATAACATTTTAATATACATAAATATCTTTTACACCGTTATCAAGTGCATCAAGGTTACATTGATTAAACTATTTAGCAAAATAGGGGATCATCCCAACAATTCTTTAGTTCCGATAAGAATTCTAGCAACGGATGGATGATTCGTTCTTTCTCAGCGGAGTTTCACAATAAAAGAGAAGCAGGTTGTTGGTTTCTTCTAATGTAGACGCATTGGACACATTTAGAGAAGGGAATAAAGTTGCTAGCTGTTACCAACTCTATTCAACCAAAATTCAATCAAAATGATGGTCACATATTTTCCGTACATAT